AGTCCATGGCTTTGTCTTGGAACCGCTTCACATATTGGAGAATGTCTTCACTCTCCCGCTGCTTTTCCTTATACAAGGTAAGTATGGTCACTTTCTCAGCCAATTAAAAGAATTTAGCATGGCATTTGGTAACTATCTCCTTCCAACTTTGGATAGAGTTTGAGGTCAAGTTAACATACCAACTATATGCTCAGTCGGTGAGGGACTTGGAGAATTCTCTTAATTGGAGGACATGATTTGAATCATGAACCCCAGAGTCTCGATGAACTGAACAACATGTTCTAGAGCATTTCCTTGTTTGCCATCAAATTTGATGAACTTCGAACTGTGTACCCCTTCAGGTATAGATAACTCAATATCTCGATAGGGTATGGTGGCTTAACATTCGGATCGGGAAAAGAGGGTAAAGTTCTCTTGCCCCGTTTGAGATCAAACATAGCTCGCACATCGGCGAGCGTGAGAAACTGTTACAGGAGAGAACTTAATGATTGTATTCCTAGAACTTGGCTCGTGGACTCGAAGATCGAGCCTGGAGCGACTTGGCCATTTGGGTGTTGAGAATTCACCATTGGTGAAGACACATGACGATATTGGCCACTGGCACCTATGGACAAGCCATTTGGTAATGGGACATCGAATTGGGTCCCTTAAAGTCCATTGCACTCCACGACTATACTAGGTTGGGCTTACAAACTCGGCGTCAGAGCCAAAGGAGACCTACTCTGTATGTAGGTAGCATGTACCGTCGGTGGAATGAAATTAGGTGCAAGTAGAGCTCCATGTTGTGTAAACATGCCCCTGGAATTTGCTTGAACACCAACTGCTATCGGAGAGCCATTCATTGTGCCAGAACCTGCCTTGGTCACCATCAGATCACGGCTTGGCCCAGCATGGAGCCCAGGCGTAAGCAAGCTACTACCATGTACCGTGGTCTAAACATGTGTTGCTGTTGTTGTGTTGCTGTGAGCCACGGGCTGGCCCTGGCCTACTTCTCCTTAGTTTGCAGGTTGGAAATCAAAAACTCAGTTGAAGATGGTTGAAAATCTGAGACTTTAAAGTGGTTCACGGGTTTATAGTCTAGAAAGAACTCAAGAGTTTTGAAGACAAAATCTATACAAAATCTGTTCAACCATAAAGGTATGTACAAAATATGTTCAATATATATTTTTTCAATCTTTTGCTTTGTTTTGTTTTGTCTCTTTTTTTTTTTTTTTTTTTAAGAATCAACTCAAAACATTTTTAACGGTGTGTAACGGGCTGTTATGGCCGCTATGGTCGACACACCTGCAAATCTTAATCACATTGCAAAAGCAGGGGTAACGCGTGGTGTCTACCGCTGCAACCATTACATAACAGCCGCAACCATTACGTAACGCCGCATTTTGAAACATTGATTACAACTAACAACTTCTCAGTTTGTGATGAAAATGTGTTGTAAATGAGAATCGTGTAGAGATTGGTGGTTTATATAGAGAGCTTCTAGAGATCTCAAGGTGTTGGCCTAGGTAGGAGGAAGAGCCCTTTTTGGTAACAAGGTTCATGTAGTTTTTGTTTTCGAAAGTTATTAAAGTTTGAAGATCAATAGGTTCCAAATTGTTGTCTCCTAAGCTAGTGTTTCTCGGACAACTGTGTCACCTTATTTGAGCAAATGAACTATCCATGTTGGTTTCATTATACACAAGGTGGTGCATCTACTTGTCCAATTGTGTGTGAACTTGATTTTATAATGCCAAACAACATTATACCATAATTTAGAAAAATTACGTTATTTGAGAGAGAGAGAGAGAGAGAGAGAGAGAGAGAAAATTGTTGTCTCCTAAGCCAGTGTTTCTCGGACAACTGTGTCACCTTATTTGAGCAAATGAACTATCCATGTTGGTTTCATTATACACAAGGTGGTGCATCTGCTTGTCCAATTATGTGCGAACTTGATTTTATAATGCCAAACAACATTATACCATAATTTAGAAAAATTACGTTATTTGAGAGAGAGAGAGAGAGAGAGAGAGAGAGAGAGAGAGAGAACACCAAGAGAGCAACCATGTCCTTGGTGGAAAGGCCAAAAGCATCAAATCTAGATATGAGTTCATTAAGGTTAGGAGTAGGAGGAGGAAAAAACGTATTGGCAACGACTAGGCTCGTCGTCATGGCATCTCTTCGTCCTTGTTTCACATTGCAACTAGGCCCTCCAAGTTGTTGTGATTTTTGTAGCATGAATTATAAAAGATATGTTGATGATTGGTAAACCTCAAGAGAAAACATAATTAGTACTTCTATACGTTGGATGGAATGACGTATTTTATTTAATTATTTATTAGTACTCACAATAACAACAGAGTCTCTTGCAACAATGGCTAATATGTCAGCACAAGAAACTACACCAGGGCATGGAAACTCCATCGTAGTCTTTATATTGTCAATAATATCAAATCCCCTGACAGAGTTAACATTTAGGAATGCTGTCTTCTCCCCTAGAAAAGAAGACGTGTCATTGAGGAGGATTAATCCATCACATCCCTTGAACAGCCACCAAAACACATTTTGACAATTATGGTCTAAGGATATACAATCTTAGCCATCGAAACAAAACATTGAACAATATTTAGGCATCATAGATACCAATCCTTTATGGTCAAAAATTCATGATTAGATGCTTACATCTATATTTTGAACACTTAGAATGCTAGGAAAACGTATTATGTCACATAGAAAATTAGTTATGCAGTTTGTAGAAAATGAAGAAGAAAGTAGAATTACATTAACGAAGCAGTTGTGAAAGAATAAGCGAAGAAGAGAGTAACCCATCCTAGAATCTTTTGATATTGCAGATCACACAACAGATTTCACAATGGCGAAAAGTTGCGGAAAATATTTGGAGTAGAAAGTAGAAGAAAGTTGAGCTGAAGAGCTTCCCATGAAAAGCACAAGGAAAGCCAAAGTCACAAAGGCCTTGAAAGAAGAAGAAAATGACGCCATTCTTGTGTATTAAAACTCAAGTAATTTACGAAGAGGTGTGTTATGAACAAATGGTGTAGAAAAGGGGTAGTATATATAGAAAGCTTCTAGTATGATATATCTCAAGGTGTTGGCCTCTAGCAAGTTCCATAAACTAACATTGCATAGCATTTCTACGTTTAACAATAAACAAATTAGGGATTGAATTGATTGATAAGCCCATATTACTTTTGAAAACATGTGTTGCAAATTAAAAAAAAAATGAATCATGGTTTTTCTAATAATCTAACATTAAAAATATATTATTTTGAACGATTTTGTGGAGAGAGATTGTGTAACTGAGTTGGAGAAAAGAATCTAAGAGAAATGAGGGCAAGGGTTTGACAATGTTGATTCAAGTAAGAAGCGAGAAGGAAAAAAAAAAACATCGACAGACAAAAATTGTATTTAAAATAAAAAAAAATTAAATAAAAAAAACTATTTAAAAACATGTGGTAGTTATAGCCATAAAATTATTTGTCCAATACACCAAATTCTCACTTTTAAATTATGAACAAGATAGAGATGAAAATAAATAATGAAATCTTCGTTCAATCATGAAGTGACATATTATGTGTTGTTTATGTTATATTATGCAATGATTGGATTAAATAATCTTTGTAACTAAACAACGTGGAAGGAAAAAGTAATATTCAACAACAGAGAATCTCTTGCTTCCTCTCAAAACTCTATGATTTGGTTAGCCGATTCATCTTGTACACTTTTTTTAATGTTGTTGTTCATGAATTTGGATAGAGATTTGAAAAGAAAAATGAAAAAGTGAAATCGTAATGAAATATAATTACGTAAGGTGTGCACGGGTTAGAGTGGTGTGGGTTGAAGTGAAAATATCCGTTGGATGACCTGTCTCTCACTCATCTCTCTCTCACCACCCATTTTCTCTACCACATTCACCACTACTACAAATGCCATTCCACTACTACCACTGTTGTCACTCCACCTCTACAACTATCATTACTACCACCATCGCTACCACTCCACTACCACCACCACTACTACCATTACCTCTCCTCCACCACCGTTACTCTATCTCCTCTACCACTACCACAACTTCACCACTTATCTCCTTCACCATCACTACCACCACCACTATCACATCTTATCTACCACCTTCACCACTACTGCCACTTCCTATCTTCTACCACAAAAAATTAGTTCTTGATTTTTAGTAACAAAAAAAAAAAGGGTTGCAAAAAAATATTTTTCATTGACCACAAAAATTAATTTTATTTTAATGGAAAATATTATCCCTACTTCTATCAAATTAAAGAAAAAAAATTTATTCAATAAAATAACTATGAAACAAATAAATTTTCAACCTTACTAAATGAAAAAAAAAATTCATTAACTATAAAAAAATTATTTTAATAAAAAATATTTTTTTTGACTACGACATCCTTCGTTGCAAAAAAAAAAAAAAAAATCATTTTATTATTCAAATATTCATTTGTAATGAAAAAAAAATCCAAAAAAATTTCCGTTCCTCCCTCCCCTTTTTCCATTCCCGCTCGGGTTCCCCCACCCCAAACCCAAAATCCCCAATCTCAAAATCCCTAATCTTTCTTACATCTCTCTCTCTCTCTCTCTCTCTCTCTCTCTCTCTCCATCTCAATTTGTTTCAGATGCTAATTCGGATGATTCACGGTCGAGGAGGAAGAGGAAGAGCAGGAGTTCTAGGCATAGAAGTAGGAAATCGGAATCAGTCGGTGATAGTGAATCGGATGAGTTGAATCAGGGTGCTGATGCTTGATCGTCATGTATGTTCACTGCTTTCCTTTCATTGTTTATTTCTTTTGTATTTTTTGTCATTTGGATGTAGGAGGAATATCAATATGCTTCTATGTTTGATAAAGTTGAGCGTATTACATGCATAAATTTGTTTTTAGGGTTGTTTGATTTGTGAACTTTTCATCTTTGATTATTTTGCTCCGTCCATTTTGTGTTTTAGTATGTGAAATAGTTTTGTTTTTCGTTTTTCTGGGCAGAACAATTCAGATGGAAAACAAATGAAATCATCCAGATCAAGAGTTGAAAATGGTGGCTCAAACTCAAAGTCAAAAATGGAATCAAATTCAGGGCAAGGAAACATGGCAGTTGAGAAGCATACAAAGCCAAGTGAGCAGCCTAATAAGCAAGATTATATCCATGTGAGAACAAGAAGAGGTCAAGCTACTGATAGCCACAGTTTAGCAGAGAGAGTAATTTCTCTTCAGAGTTGTTGGAATTTCTATTTATCATTTGTTGAATTTATTTGTAGCTTTCTGTTTGCAGATTGAAACTTGTTGTTTGTCAGGCTAGGAGAGAAAAGATCGGTGAGAGGATGAAGATTTTGCAAGACTTGGTTCCTGGATGTAATAAGGTAATCAAAATCATTTGTCTATTTTCGTTAAATAAAATAGACACAAAAAATAATATTTTAGTCATGAAACTCAATAATGTAGGTGTATAAAAAAATGTCTAAAATACTTATTTCCATTGAATTTAATGACTAATGTACACTTTTCTAACAATTTTATTTAACAAAAATAAATAAATAGTTTAGATTGAAAATAAATCAAAATATTGAGGTTTGAATTGATAAGATTAAAAATTCAGAATTTATTTTGTTAAAAGGCTTAAATCTTAAGGGTTTTTTTGTAATGATCCTAACTTTTTTTTTTAAAAAAAAAAATTAAAAACTTTTCATGTTCAAGCCTCACTAGACTAGACAGATCTAAAAACTAATATATATATTGGGAAAAAAATCCACTAAAAAAAAATTAAAAAGCTAGGGGTTTTTTTATATAAAAAAAAATCCACTGAAAATTTACTTTTTAGATTCCTTTAAATTAGACAGACTTGAAATAAAATAAAATAAAAAAGTTTGAAAGTAAAAATTAGAACTTTTTATAACAAAGATACTCCCCAATTTGACTATTCCTCTCATAGCTTCTAAGTCACTTTTCTTCTTTGCAGGTTCCTCATGTTACTCGTACTGATTATCAACTGATTGATATTTCTGAAGATGGTTTTGTAAGTAATTTCGTGTGAACATCTTGAATATTTCTGTATCCAATGGATCTCACTGGATTAATTATTGGTAGATAAAAATGCCATGTAATTTAATTGGGTTGCTATAGACATTTGGAAATTTAGACTTGTTATTATTCTATTGACAAGAGATGATGTTGGCAGCAATATTTTGTATTTGTAATTTTAGCCATGGGTAATTTCCGCTGTTTTATTAGTACTTTGTGTCCAGCCAAGAACTATCCATGTCTCTTTGTTAGAAATGTGTAAGATTTTATGTTATTCAGAACTTAATAAGTTTGGATGTAGTAACTTCCATTTTCAGATCCAGCTTTAGGCTTTGCCTGTTAGGGGTTGCCACAATTTTTGAATTGTAAACCAAAAATAAAAAAGTTTGAAAGTAAAAATTAGAACTTTTTATAACAAAGATACTCCCCAATTTGACTATTCCTCTCATAGCTTCTAAGTCACTTTTCTTCTTTGCAGGTTCCTCATGTTACTCGTACTGATTATCAACTGATTGATATTTCTGAAGATGGTTTTGTAAGTAATTTCGGGTGAACATCTTGAATATTTCTGTATCCAATGGATCTCACTGGATTAATTATTGGTAGATAAAAATGCCATGTAATTTAATTGGGTTGCTATAGACATTTGGAAATTTAGACTTGTTATTATTCTATTGACAAGAGATGATGTTGGCAGCAATATTTTGTGTTTGTAATTTTAGCCATGGGTAATTTCCGCTGTTTTATTAGTGCTTTGTGTCCAGCCAAGAACTATCCATGTCTCTTTGTTAGAAATGTGTAAGATTTTATGTTATTCAGAACTTAATAAGTTTGGATGTAGTAACTTCCATTTTCAGATCCAGCTTTAGGCTTTACCTGTTAGGGGTTGCCACAATTTTTGAATTGTAAACCAAATAAACTTTGATCTGCAGGTGAGTCTTTTGATTGAGAATGGTAACACCAAGGATGACTTGAAGCTTCCCACCGATGAAAGTCTGCTCAGCCAGGTACACAAATGTTCTGCATTCTTCAAAATGCAACCTGTGCACTCTAAATATATTTTGAAATATTAGTAAGATGAATACATTGTATTTCAATACTGTTTTGCATAATTTAGAAGCATTGTTACGTCAATGATATCTTGATTTTTAAGTTATTGAATAAATGACTTTTTAATTTTAATTACTCTAGTGTTATCTCATTTTTTGTCCATTATCTTTGAATAAACTATTTTTATATTTGGCACACAACAAAATTAAAAAAAAATAAAAATAAAATATGTGTCCCAGGCATATTGTGTTCTGTATTTTTAAAAAATCACTGAGTCGATATGTTTGTGTCATGTACGGATTGTGTCATTCGTCTTTGTCTTTGTGCATTGAAAATTTAATGCTGCCCTTCAATAGTCCACAATTAATATTATGTTCTTTACTTTATATTTATTTGTCTGTGCTTTGTGTGTTCAGATTAAAGATGGGTTTGCTGAAGGGAAAGACCTTATTGTGTTAGTTATGTGTGTTATGGGGGAAGAACAGATCAATGCCCTCAAGGACATTGGCCCAAAGAACTAAAATTCTTGGGGTCTCTTGTATAATGTCTACGCACATATTATTTATATAAATGATCTAATAATTGGATTAAAACCACCCTAAAATTAAGAGACTCTTTTCACTTAATTCGTCTGTTACTCATCAGATAATGTTTTGGATTTACTAACACCCACGAAATTACAATCGATTGTCTATCTGATCCCTAGATTTGCTTATATTCCAAGGTAAACAAAGCTTCTGATTTTTGAAATCCGATTCACAAGCACTCTATTTTCTTGACTTTCTTGTTTTTTTTATTACTGTTTGTTTAGTGTTAGATTGGATGGCTGAAGGGAGAGTTCAATCTCGTTATGTGAAGCTGACCAAAGATCGAGGGCCTTTGGAGGATATTAAGCCTGAAGAAAAACATTTAATTTCGATTTATGTTATTTTGAATTATGAACAAAATCATAAATTTAAACATTAAATATGTATTATGAAACATTATGTAGTGGGATAATTTTGTTGATGTGTAATTATGAATGGAAGAATGTTTTATTATGAAGAAATTGTTATTTTTATATTGGAATTTTTATATTATTATGTAATTATTATGGAGAAATTTTAATATTTTTAATAATTTTATCAGAGGATTTTTTTTCTTTTTTGTGACGGCACTACACCGTTGCAAAAAACAGAAAATTTTATTATTTTTATTGATTTTGTTACAGGTTTTACTTTTTGTGACGGCATTAAATTGTCGCAAAAAATAGAAATTTTATTATTTTTTAATACTTTTTGCGACGGTAGTACATTGTCACAAAAAAATATTTTTTTTATATTTTTAATACTTTTTGCAACGGCACCACACCGTCGCAAAAACAGTGTTCTTGCCGTTGCAAAAAAAAAAAGACTATTAGCAACGGCATTTTTTGCCGTTTCAAATAACATTTTTAGCGACGGTAAAATAGTTTCGTCGCAAAAAGTCAAGAAATTTCAAACATTATTAGCGACTGCAAAGTGCTGTCGCAAAAAGGCAAAAATGCCGTCGCAAAACATTAGCGACGACACTGTGCTGTCGCAAAAACTCTTTTGCAACCCCCGCATTTGCGACCCCCTCTTGCCGTCACAAAAAGTCATTTTGCCGTCGCAAAAAGTTTTTGCGATGGCATTAAGAGTATTAGTGACGGTATTTTACCGTCACAAAAAGTCAATTTTTTTGTAGTGAATAGAGAATCTCTTGCTTCCTCTCAAAACTCTATGATTTGGTTAGCCGATTCATCTTGTACATTTTTTTTAATGTTGTTGTTCATAATTTAGATAGAGATTTGAAAAGAAAAATAAAAAAGTGAAATCGTAATAAAATATAATTACGTAAGGTGTGCACGGGTTAGAGTGGTGTGGGTTGAAGTGAAAATATCAATTGGATCGCCTGTGGTGGTTTGTGTATTTTTCCCAGCCCAACTATCGTTCAACTGTAGATGAGTAAATCAATTAGATTTTATAGGTAGTTTTGACTGGACGGTTTGGCGGGTGCGACAAACACAGCTTTAAATAAAAGCAACAAAATCAAATAATGGTTTAAATATTCAACAAAATTTTATAAACACATTAAGGTGTTCGAAATCAAGACATTTGGTTTGGGAAATAATATATTTATCACTTGAACAACACACATTATATATATTTTTAAATCAAAATCAAATTTACATTTTACAAATTTACACACACCCATATATTAGTGGATGTGCTCGCAAATCTGTAAAATATAAATTTAATTTTAATTTTAAAATATAAATATTGTGTGTTGTTCAAATGATAAAGATGAAGTTTTCTAGGGCCAAGGAGATCTTCAAATAGGGTGTTCATTTTTTGAGGATTGATCATTTGAGAACTGCTGTGAAACAAATTCATTTTGAGTTTTAGTTACCCAATAATTGAAAAAAGTAGTTAATTTCATTTTCCATAGCGAATATCTTCATGTTCTTTTAAACTTTATTTTTAGACCCCACTTTGAACTGATAACGATAATCTGAACTATTCATTGTAAATCTCGTAGTGAAATTCGTACATTCAAAAAGTCGAGTTCATTAGATATCAATGAACAGATAAAAAAATTACAATTTTTTTTAATGACATGGACGGTTTAAGTTTAAAGTTATAGTTGTTGTCCATTTAAAAAATTAAAAATATTATTTATTCATGTATTTATAGTGATATCTAATGAAATTGAAGTTTTGCACAACTCAATTTTATTACTAAACCAACCAAATAAATGATTCCAATAATTGTTGTGGGACTGGGATGAGACTCACAAAATAGAATATAAAAATATATAAAAGATAATGGTTTGAAGGAAAGTCGTTGCCTTTTCGACAACATTAAATTGATGAATAACAAAAATAGCTGCCCTAAATCATAGAAGTCTCGTTCAGGTCTTGCCCAATTATAGGCCCATTATGCCTTCAGATTGGGCCATTGTCAATCTTGTAGAAACATACAACAAACTCAGGTGCTTCTATTTGTACTTAAATAATAATTTAGTACATTTAATTAAAATTTTAAAATTTTGATTAATAAGAACAATACACAATAAATTTAAAAAAAATTTATACGCCCAAACTACTTATACGTGTTTTTCATATTCAATTTTTTTCATCTTTTAGAATAAAACCAAAGATATGTTAAAATTTCACTGTGAATTTGCTTTACAATATTTTTTTCATTTTTTTATAAATTTTTTAGTTCAACTGAATCAATTTTTTTTAAGTGAGGGGAAAGACAAATTGTTCCTAAATATAGTGACAGTTATGTAGATTGCATCCTTGGGATACAACTGCCATTCCCTAGCATCAACAAGCACGAGTCTATTTTCAACTCTTGGGGTGTAAGGTAAAGAACCTTTGCCAGTACGAGTCTTTACAGCTTTTATTCGAATCAAGAGTTTCATGGTGTTATCAATAGGAACACATAAATAAATATGATGCTATACTGTATAACTTACACCAATTGGTTTTATATGTGAACAGAACGAATAGTTATAATGAAAATTTTATTTAATGATTTTTAAAGGAATTTTTTAAAATAGTGTAACATAGGATTTTTAATTTTTTTATTGTTTAGGTATAATTTGAAGGGCAATTTGAGAAAAAATATAGGGTGTATTAAGAGTAAATTATAATTTTAAAATAATTTATAGGATATGTTGAGAAATTATACGCACTTAATGATTTTGGGGTGCAAATAAAATCCCTCCAAACTCAAGGGCCAGATATGGTTTCTGTGGAGGCCCAAATGCATGTATCACCTAAATTAACATAGTGCTCTTTGATTTTGGTCAGATTATTATGGATTTCCATCCCCTTTTACATGTAATTTATACATCAAACTATTAGGCTATATTTGATTGAGGAATTTGGAAAGAAATTTAGAAAGAAAAATGACAAAAATATATAAAATTAGGAAAAATATATGTATATTTTTTATTTATATTAGAAAAATGACAAAAATATATAAAATTAGGAAAAATATATGTATATTTTTTATTTATATTTTACTTATTACTTTTTCTCTCTTCGTTAATAAATTTATTTCCAAATCTCCTAACCAAATACAGCGTTAGAGATGATTTGTAGTTCCATGCTACACATTTCAAGGCCCATTTATTGCTTTCTGATAATATATGCCCACAATGGCCCAATTAAAAGCCGGAGCCCAGTTTAGTGGTGATACCCAATAACAAAACTTCAAACAAAATTAAAAGTCCAACCACTGGTGAGATCACAATGCTCAAAAACTTGAAACAAAATTAAAAGTCACATCCATATAAAATATATAAAATTAACAAAAAAGTGTGTTCATTTAGGACTTAAAAAAATTGAAAGTCTAACCACATCCATTCATAGCTTAAACATAGCAAGCATTCTTCTCACCCTTGCCCATAAAATGACACCAAAAAGTACTATTTCAAACATATATTTCTATCACCAAATTAAGACAAGAAACTAGTTTATTAGTAATATTGAAGTTGAAATGATCACGATCCTGATTAGTTCGTCTTCCTGCAATTCTTCCTTATCTCTCCATTCGATCCAGTGAGGGGGCTAATATCACCCATCTTAATCATGGCTGCGACAAAATCAGAGTTGAAGGTGCCTGGATTGTTGCTGTATGTCTGCACAAGTGAGTCGGTTGACCCACCATTGAAAAGTTGTTGATCAGAGTGGAGGAGTCCCCTTCGATTGACCAAGTTCTTGTAGTAGTTGTTTTCGAATTTTGTTGGAGTTTGAAGATCAAGAGGTGCCAAATTGTTGTCTCCTGAGCCAACGGTTCTTGGGCAGTTGCCTTGCCTTGTTTGAGCAAATGAACTATCTATGTTGGTTTCATTGTACACACGTGCTCTGAAATTGGTGCACCGTGCTTGTCCAATTGTGTGAGAACCTGGTTTTTGTAAGCCCATACAATAACTATGTCAAACAATTGTGTGAGAACCTAGTTTCACTAGATTTTTTCACTCATTTTATATCATAAGGGCACATTATATATAGATATTATTTTCTTGGTTCTTTTTAAATAAAGAATCAATTCTTAGAATTTACGCATGTAATGTTACAAAACAGTGGCACATACCATTTTTCTTACAACTATGTAATTAGTAATGCTATTTTGCCAAAGTATTTGCATAATGTGAGATGAACAATACATTTTGAGAGAGAGAGAGAGAGAGAGACAGAGAGAGTACATACCAGAAAGAGCAACCATGTCCTTGGTTGAAAGGCCAACAGCACTGAAACTGGAGATAAGCGCACTAAGGCTAGAAGTTGGAGGAGGAATGCTGCTATTGGCAGCACCCTGACTCGCTGTCCTGGCATCTCTTCTTCCAAGTTTTACATTCCAATTGGGCCCTCCAAGCTAAAATACAACATAAATAAAAGAAATACATGTTCATGAACTACAAAAAATTATTACAAAACCTAATAAAGTAGTTTGAAAAGCGGCCAAAACTTAACAAGTGGGTCAAATTCATTAAGTGCGTTACATATCACACTAAATCTGAATTTGCACCACACCTTTCAGACTTTTTGTCCTAATTTCATAATTTTTTTGAGTTGAACATGAAAGAAAGCATAATTACTACTTTTTACTTACAATAACAACTGAATCTCTAGCAGTAACAGCCAATACATCAGCGCATGAGACCACACCAGGACACGCCTTTTCTACTGCAGACTTTATATTGTCAATAACATCAAATCCCCGAACAGAATTAAAATTTGGAGCTGCCCTTTTCTCTCCGATAAATGAAGATGTGTCATCAAGGAGAATTGATCCATCACATCCCTGAAAAATTCAATAGAAAAATCAAAACACAAGCATTGAACAATATTAGCCATTGAAAGCAAAACACCTATCAGAGTCGGCCCTAACTTTTTGGGGGCCTATGGTTAACTAAAAAAATGAGTCTCGACTGTTATACATATTTTAATACTGATATAAATTTGGAATATTTTCGATTGTAAACATTTTTAGTTTATCACACTTTTTCGTCCCGACTGTTATACATATTTTAATACTGATATAAATTTGGAATATTTTCGATTGTAAACATTTTTAGTTTATCACACTTTTTCGTGACATAATAGATTGAATTGTAAAATTTGATAAATTTCAAACTTAAAACCAATCTTATTTCTCTAAAGACAATTGTAACTGGTATAGTCAAATAATATTCTATAAATAATTCATACATTTGGCAAACAACCATCTAATATTTTTAAATAATTCGCTAATTCAATTGTTTAAAAAAAATTATAGAACTTTATTTTTAAACTACTAATGTACTGTTTGGTTCACTGAAATGAAATTGAATTAAATGAAATAATTATTTTTTGATCTCTTTATAGATGGTGAATGATAATTTCATTTGTACTATTTTTTATTAGTTTTTAGTAAATCAAATATGAGGATGAACATTACGATGGAATGATTGTTTCATTTCAATGAATTAAATATAATAAGATCGAAAATTATTTGAGAGTCTACTTCTTAGACAAAATTTGGAGACCGAGGCGACAACATTACTCACCTTGTCTTAGGGCCCGCCCTGAATGCTATACAGCAAAATGTCACCTTTTTTTTTCTTATTGGTGTGTAAAACGACCAACACAATCCTAAAAAAATATAAAAATATAAAATAGAAGAGTATATAACACCATCATTTTGACTTGTGACATTAACATCTTTTTAAATGTCATAAATATCTATCTTCTTTTTTTTTTTTTGAATTTTATACTTGAGTCTTTGTGGTTTACGTGGACATTTCCTGGTTCCCAAACAGCCTACTTTTCCACACGTAGAATGATAGTGAAATCAATCATATCATCTTCTAACACTAAAAGCATATCGGTGTGTAAAACGACCAACACAATCCTAAAAAAATATAAAAATATAAAACAGAAGAGTATATAACACCATCATTTTGACTTGTGACATTAACATCTTTTTAGATGTCATAAATATCTATCTTCTTTTTTTTTTTTTGAATTTTATACTTGAGTCTTTGTGGTTTACGTGGACATTTCCTGGTTCCCAAACAGCCTACTTTTCCACACGTAGAATGATAGTGAAATCAATCATATCATCTTCTAACACTAAAAGCATTTTTAATAATGTTTTCAAGTCAATAAAAAAATAATACTATAATTAAGTAGGGGCAAATTTTATTTCACATGTACATTTTAAAATATAAAAAAAAAAATACAATACAGTCAAGCTAGTTATTAAAAAAGGTTAAATTTTGTTTGTGCCTTTAAGACAAGTACGTTTTGACAAGAATACATCATTTTCCTCTCTCCTAACATTATTTTATTTTTCAATTGTTTAAGTGTGTACCCTCCATTAGCTGTGGACTTTCAATTAGCAGCTAACAACATTTAACTCTTATTCGAAATTAAATTATACAACAAAACCAACAACAAATGAATTTCTTACTGTTTGTCCAATAAAAATTAAATAAAATAAAAAAATCTCAGCCCATAGCAACACCAACAATTACATAAATTAACATAGGCACAATAATTATAAAATTAACACCCCAACAAATTAAAGTTTAGGGACAAGATTTTCTTTTAAGAAATAAATAAAAGTTCTTTTTTGACTTTTCGGGAAGATTAACAATGACTCTCGTAAATGACACAAATTGATTCCCAAATATTTTTTATAACAAAATTTTTACTTTTGTGAAAAAAGTTCTAATCTCTAAAATTCTTATATATTGTAATGTAAGAAAAATTTTAACTAACAACTAAGGCCTCGTTTGGGAATCCTCATTTTTAGCCAAAAAATCAAAAAGTTACTAAATTAGCCAAAAAGCCAACAACCCATACCAAAAAGTCAAAGATTCTCTTTTCTCTCTACTTTTTGCACATCTTTTCGTAAAAAGCCAAAAAGTCATCCCAAACATACTAGTTTTTTTAGCTCATATTTTAGCCAAATAGCCAAAAAGTTACTAAATTAGTCTGTTCCCAAACGAGGCCTAAATAGTGGTGACTCAACCATTACTTAAGCCATTATCTAAGGCTACCAAAAAAAAGTTCAAAAAATTCTTGTTACAAAAGGCTTAAAATTTTCAGTTTACATAATAAAATAACGTCTCATTATAATATTTAGCATGAGCTTTTAAAAAATCTTAGACCGCTACTTTAAGTGAAAAGACAAAGTAGAGAAATTACATTAACGAAGCAATCGTGGAAGAACAAGCGAAGAAGGGAGGCACCCATCCGAGCTTCTTTCGATATTGCAGATTGCTTTTTTATAACAAAATTTTTACTTTTGTGAAAAAAGTTCTAATATCTAAAATTCTTATATATTGTAATGTAAGAAAAATTTTAACTAACAACTAAATAGTGGTGACTCAACCATTACTTAAGCCATTATCTAAGGCTACCAAAAAAAAGTTCAAAAAATTCTTGTTACAAAAGGCTTAAAATTTTCAGTTTACATAATAAAATAACGTCTCATTATAATATTTAGCATGAGCTTTTAAAAAATCTTAGACCGCTACTTTAAGTGAAAAGACAAAGTAGAGAAATTACATTAACGAAGCAATCGTGGAAGAACAAGCGAAGAAGGGAGGCACCCATCCGAGCTTCTTTCGATATTGCAGATTGCACTGCAGATTTCACAGTGGTGAAAAGGTTTGGGCAAGACTTGGAGTAGAAAGTGGGTGAAAGTTGAGCAGAAGAGCTTCCAATGAAAAGCATAAGGAAAGCTAAAGCCACAAAGGCCTTCAAAGAAGATGAAAATGAAGCCATTGTTGTAAATGTATTACAACTAACAACTTCTCAGTGTGTGATGAAAATGTATTGTAAATAAGAATGGGGTAGAGATTGGTGGTTTATATAGAGAGCTTCTAGAGAATTATATCTCAAGGTGTTGGCCTAGTCAGGTTACCTAACTCGAAGACTCTTAAGTATTTGCATGGCATTTCTACGTTTCAATTAAAAAATAAAAAATAAAAAAATAAACAAGTTAGGGATTGAATTGATTGATTGAGCAAAAAGACTAATGGTGGGAATTTTGAATAATACTATTGGAACAATACATGAAATCGCCAAGTTAGGGTTGATTATTTTTTTATACAAAAAAAAAAAAAATGATATGACTGATAATGAAAATATTAAACATATCTAGTTAGGCCTCGTTTGGGAACAAGCTAATTTAGTAATTTTTTGGCTATTTGGCTAAAATATGAGCTAAAAAAAACTAGTATGTTTGGGATGACTTTTTGACTTTTTACGAAAAGATGCAAAAAGTAGAGAGAAAAGAGAATCGTTGACTTTTTGTATGGGTTGTTGGCTTTTTGATTTTTTTTAGTGAGTTTTTGATTTTTTGGCTAAAAAAGCAACTTGCCAAACGAGGCCTTAGTGTCGAACTTAAAGAATACAAAATTGATACGGATAACTCGTTTAATGAAAATTTAATTAAACATTTTAGTGTTAAATTTACTAAAAGCTGTCATGATATTTTTGAATTTCTTATATAATTTCATGTCGCTAATTAAAAAAATACATGTGTAAAATTGAATTTTAAATTTAATATTATATTTAAATTGAAGTTAGTGTATTTTTTGTCACTATTTTAAAGCTAATCTAATAAAAAATATATAATAATAAGATATAATTTTTGTGCATTAGAGAAATGAAATGAATTGAAATAAAATATTTTTATGAATAATTTTATCTAGTAGAGATTAGTTTTATTAAATTTAATTTATGAAAAAAAAATAATTTAATTGTTTCATATACTAGATTTTTTAACTAAGGATAACAATTTTTGACATGATACGTTAACTTGACATAATAATATAAAATAATAAACATATTAAATTAGGGTTAAAAACAAATTATTGAAAAAAAACGTGTTTTTTTTATATATATTTTTTAAGTTTGTGTAACAATTTGTCAAAAAGGGCATCCATAAAGCGATCTTAAACTTATGATTCGGTGAAGATTGATGAGATCATGAGAATAAATGTATGAAGTGGACTTTTCTCTACACGAAAAAGATTGAAAATTTGAACATTTCAACAGAAACTATCCTTATTGGATAATTTTAGATTTGCAAAATTTAGTTTTGATTAGGAACTAAAGCCTGACAACGGAGGTAATTGGGCATAGCAAGATACGTTAACTTGACACAATAATAAAAATAAAATAAAAAAGAAAAATAAAAAAATTATTAATAATCATTACTCAAGAAATTATTCACTCTCTCAACAAAAAGAAGGGTAAGAAGGGAGGTTTGGTTTTTAAAATTGATTTAAAAAAAGCTTATGACAATCTCTCTTGTGATTTTTTAAAACAAACTTTGGAAGAGTTTAATTTTGATCATAATTTTATTGAGCTTATTATGTTTTGTGTAACCACTCCCTCTAGAGGGTTCAGACAAGGGGACCTTTTGTCCCCTTACCTGTTTGTGCTTTGCTTAGAGAGATTATCTAATATGATTAGTTTTCAAGCTGATAATAAAGCTTGGAAAGGGGTGGAGACTTCCAGAAGAGGGCCCAAACTCACCCATCTTTTATTTGCTGATAACTTAATGCTTTTTGGACAGGCTACTACGTCCAATTATAGTACTATCATGAAGGTCATCGATGAGTTTTGTGATATTTCTGATTTGAAAATCAATCATCATAAGTCCAAACTCTTTGTCTCCCTTAACATTGATAGAAGGAGTGCTAAAGAGATGAGTACCAAGTGTGGCATCCCTCTTACTTCTGATTTAGGGAGAGACTTTGGTGTCCCTATCATCCATGGTAGAGTTAACAGGGGTATTTTTACCTACATTTTAAAGAAGATGCAAAGGAGGTTGACAGGGTGGAAAGCTCATACTCTATCCATGGTTGGTAGAGCCACTCTAATCCAATCTGTGGCTTCTGCTATACCTACGTATGCTATGTAGACTATGCTCTTACCATCTAAGGTTTGCAATGAAATTGACAGTATGAATAGAAACTTTCTCTGGGGGAACACTTTGGAAAAGAAGAAAATTCATCTTGTCAATTGGAATGTTATGTGTAAAATGAAAAAAACTGGTGATCTGGGGATTAAAAAAGCTAGGGATCAGAACCTTGCTTTGATCTCTAAGTTGGGTTGGAATTTGATTAGCCACAAAGACAGTTTGTGGTGTGAGGTTTTGAGACATAAATACTTAAGCAATACTTCCTTCTTTGACCTGCAGAAAGGTAGGGATGCTTCATATATTTGAAGAGGCATCATGAGCACTAGACCTTTCTTAAGGAAAGGTGTTAAGTAGAACATTAGTGATGGCAAGTTTGTGAATATTTGGAAAGATTGGTGGTGTGAAAACAGTTCCTTTGAGGATACTATTTCTGGCACTATACAATCTAATATTACTGATGCTACTCATATTTCCACTCTAAGAGAGTTGCTGGGGGCAGATGGGAACTGGGATGTTACTCTGGTTACAGATAACTTCCCACGCCCACTGGCTACTATTATCCTGGGGACTCCACCTCCTGGAAACAATGGGATGGATACTCCTATTTGGAAGGGATCTCCTGGTGGAGAATTTACTGTTTCCTCTGTGTATGAATTGCTTCAAGACAATGAGGACAGGGAAGAGGACTGGTCTTGAGTGTGGAAACTGAGATTACCACAGAAACTAAAAGGTTTCTTGTGGACTATTCTCCATAGAAAACTGCTCACCAATCAAATGAGATTGAAGAGAGGATTGACTGATACTCCTCAATGTCTTAGATGCAATGGGGTTGAGGATATGAATCATTTATTTAGAGAATGTTATATAGCAAAGGAAGTGTGGCTCACTGTTTTGATAAACATTGGTACATAGATATGATAAGGAAACCCTGGATGGATTGGCTCATGAGGAATGCTAAAAGTAAAAATCATTTTAATGAACAACTCTCTTGGTTTACTATTTTTGTGGTGGCTCTATGGAAAATTTGAAAAAATAGAAATGGATTTGTCTTCGAAGGAAAATCTGTTAGTAACCAAGAGAGTGCAAAATTTATTTTCGATTACTCTCGAGAAATCCATGAAGCTTTCCTCTAGTCTGTACCACAATCCTAACCCTTATTTAGACTAATCAAATGGTGTTTCCCACCTGCAGGAAGGTTGAAACTAAACACTGATGGCAGCAGGAAAACTAGAGGAGATAAAGGCTTTGGTGGGCTGATCTGGGACGAACAAGGTGCTTGGGCGTGTGGATACTATGGACGTTTGCCACCAGGAACTAGCCTTGAAGTTGAATTATAGGCTCTATACAAGGGACTCACAGTTGTCCTACAAAAGGCATGAACAATGTTATCATTGAATCAGATGCAATGCAGGTGGTACAACTGATGAACGAAGAAACAAGGGACAACTGCCCTTTCAAGAATCTGGTGGAGGACTCTAAGATCCTACTCTGAGGATGCCAATGCACTGTCCAACACGTTTGGAAGGAAGGAAATCTCTATGCCGATGCCTTGGCGAAGTTTGGAGCTCAACAACTCGAAGATATGTTGGTGGTGAATGAGCCACCGGCAGAAATTAGAAGTCTTATTGTTTCTGATATAATAGGATTGTCTAGGGAACGGGCTTAGCCCTTGTTTTTCCTTTCCATTTCTGTTGTTACCCAAAATAAATAAATAAATAAATAAAAATTGGGCAAAGCAAGAAAAAGACATGTGATTGTGAAGAAAGTTAGATTCAAGAAGTAGATGAAGTTGCTACTTTAAACTTCAAAAAATTTCTATTACATCAAGTCTTTTTCGACCTATGAAGTGTGGATACTTTGAAAAATACGTCGTATTCATATTGAGTACTTATTAACTTATGGTATTTTGTATGATACTTTGCATATGTACTGATTACATGAAACATGTACCCAAATTTTTCTTCTTAATTTTTTAGCATACCCAGACGTATCTAGTATATACTCAAACCATACCGTAACTTAGTCGAATCAATATTTTGTTTTACTACAGAGATAAAATTTCTTTGACTAGTCTTCATTTTTATTTTTCGTTTTATGCTTAGTATGATTTTAAAATTACGTTGTGATTTGTAAGTTATTTAATATAAAGTCATTTAATTTTGATTTATACCTTTAGTTTTTGCATTAAATGTTAATTGTAAGTTATATCGTAACAAATTAAACTATTTAATCAATTTTTGTATCACTCTAAATTTAAAATAAATATTTTTTTTACAAATGTATCAAGCTGGACTCGTACCTTATTTTTTTTAGATTTTACCATAGCGATGTATTTGTATCGTATTAGTACAGTACTCATACCCGTACATGTGCTTCATAGTTTTCGACTAATAGCTAATATCGTTTTATTCTATTTATATATGACCTTACATATTTTAATATAATTAATTATAAGAAAATGACTGATTACATAATACTCACTCAACTATTAACGAATTCAAAAATGCTTGGGACCCCCAAAGTTTGGAATCCCATGACCGCCAAAATGATGTTGACTAATCATGTTTTTTTTTTTTTCCCTTCCTAGACCAATCGCAAATGAATAGAGATTGTAGAAGTTGTGTTTTTTGAGAATATGTAGCATTGTTGTAATGAATTTCATCTTCCTGTCCTTATTTATAAACCCACACACTTTGCCTTCAACTATAAAAATACGTTATTTTTACTTCTCCACAAAGGGTACACTTGTACGGTTTTTGTAATTAAGAGAGTTAAAATGTATGAACTAATAGATAAAGAGATTAAGGTGATTTAATAATATATCATTTTCACCCCTTCAAAAGGAGAGTGTTTTTTTTGTTTTTTTTTTTTTACGGATTTTATTATTAAAATGGTTAAAATATACAAATTTATAAATAAAAAAGATAAAATAAT